CCCCGGAGGAAAACAACAGGCGGAGAACCAAAAGTCACCGAACTTACGTAGTTCTTGACTTCCCTGCGGGCGTTGGCATCGATCGCGAGCCATCTCTGTTGGTACTGGGCCTTGATGTCGGGGTCCTTGGACGTCAGGGAGTTCTTGATCTGCAAGCCGGCTGCCACGCGGGCAACTTGGCTGTTGCCGGGGTTTGCCAGCACTCTGGACAGTTCCACCAGGAAGGTCGGCTGGGGAGAGAGGAGGGCTCAGCACCCCGCCGGCCCCCTCCCCACTAACAAGGGGAAAGAAAAACCCACCCCAACCACCCAGCAAAACGAGACCACGACCCACCGAAGCTCCTTCTCTACCAGGCCAATGGCAAACGGCCGCCACCGCGCAACGACGGTGGCTCTAGCCCGAGATTACGGGCGTTAAGCTCCTAATTAGAACCGCTGGAAAGCGACGTAAGTAGGCATTGACTTTGCTGGATTTTTTTTTTTTTTTTTTTTTTTTGTTGAGAGGCTGTTACCTTCCGTGCTCCTGCCTGCTCTAAGTATTCCTTTAAATAAACTACTCAGGTCATATGCCAAGATATGTATTTTCTGGAAGGATATCAAACATGGCGAAGAGTAACTCACTGCTACTTATTCCCTTGCTTCGAGGCAAACACCCAAACTATAATCTAACACGAGAATTGTTAAAATGTGAAATCAGATGCTTCTCTGGTGCATTACAAATAGGTTTGTAAGATTACAAACTTCCTCCTCTGCAATCAAAGGTGCACAGACACAGATGAAATTACCCCCCACAAAAAGCACGTACGTGCGGATAAAAATACCTGACATTTGTGCCACTTGCTTTTGGTGAGAGCTAGGGAGAAATGCCTCCGCACTTAAATCCTTCCCTGATTTGACAGCTTTACATTTCAGAGACTTCCGCTGTGTACGAGATACAGCTAAAGTTTCAGCAGCAAAGCTTTCTCATTTTGCCGACCCCGTGAAGCATTTTGCCTACTAAGAAAACCTTTCTAGGAAATAGTGGAAACAGCTGCACCGTGTTCAAACCCGTTTCACACCAAGCAGGAACATGGTTTGCCTGAAAATATTTACCACACGGTTATAAGTAACCCCCTTCTATAATCTCTGTAACAGACCTTAAGATGCATACAAAGATTTTAGGGCACCAAAATCAGCCACTTTTAAAACAAACTTTCAAAAGTTCAACAGAAACACAGAGTTAAGTCCAGTACCTCGGACTCCACGTTTTCAATGACCAAGTGCTGCTCTTCAAACTAATTTTAGTTGGGCTATTCAGTACTCTTCAGCATTCAAATTGCAGAATTTGGAAACAAAAATGTGGGACAACTTAAACCAATGAGCATAAACCACCAGAAATACTCTGAAATTTTAATGGACTCGACAAAACCTGAACAAATATACCACACTAAACCACGTCCCAACCATCAAGATTGCTCACGTTTTATACACTGGTTTTATTAAAAGTGAGGAACCATTCAAAAAAGTTCACAGGACAAAATAAGTGTGTTGCTGCCACCTTTGAGAAGAAAACCATACTGAAATTCAAAGGTGAAGAAGCATGCTTGGATTTCTCACTCATAAATTAGCAAAAAAAAAAAAAGTCTTTTCATGGAGCTTTAAGAATAATTCTAGCTAAAAATGAGAAGCGTTACATTAAGTCTCTCAAATTTGAGACTCAAAGCACATGCAGATGCGTACGACCTCAGCTCTCACACCTACAGAAGTGTCAATGAAAAAAATCTCAGAGAAGGGTCTAAATTAACTACAGGGAGGAGGAGGGGATGAAGAAGAACAATTCGCTCTGCGGCTGCATCTCAGTCTACTAACTAGGAGATCACTTCCAGCTCCAGGTGCAGCCCCGCACCTCCTAACCCTTCCCTCTCCGGGGGTCAGCCGGAGCTCTTCCCACCCCTCCCCAGCACATACTGCGATGGGAACGGCCCCGAGCCCCTCATCCTCATCCTCCTGCGAAGCCGAGCCCCTAACCGCCCTCGCAGCCTACCTGGAGCTCCTCAACCCCTGCCCTTCCCAAGGCTGGGCCGTTCCGCGTCCCCATCCCACAGCGGGGCACCAATTCTTAGCCCCAGCATAAGCTCCGCTTCCTCCACTCGCTGCCTCATCCCTGGCTCTCACAAGGCAGCAACTATAAATGAAACCCTGAAAAACTGGCGCGTCCCTCAGCTCTTTTAACAGCCTGAAACCCAGGACAATGGGCAGCTTGAGTACATTGCCCTGAAATGCTTCACATAACACAGCCCAGGAAGCTTCAGTCTAACCGGGGGGATCCTAAGACTTAATAAACAGCAATTCAGAGAATTTTAACTCAAAACTGCCATTTAGCGCAAAAGCTGCATCGATTCTGATTGAGGGAATGCTTCGCACACCTTACAACAGAGCAACATAAAGAGTCTGCCACTTTCCCACTTTACATCAGTAGACACCAGCATACGTAACCGCTTCAAAAATGAAGGATGCCAGTTTTGTACGCGACGATAACGCGTGGGTGATGCTGCTGCCGTGCCAGG